TTCCATGTGCTGGCAGGAGGCATCTTTTTGAGGAACTGCAGTTATACGGGAGTTTTAGCTTCTGAGCTACCAGAAAAAAACCCCTCAACTCTGAAAAAAAAGCCAACAGCATCGTTTTTTGTCATGTAAAGCTTGAAAATATGACCCCTGAAAAGCAAAAAGAGTTGTCCCTGGTTTTCTCTGCTGCAGATATCTTAATCTGATTTTTTTTTTTTGGTAATTGATTTCTAAGTCCCCAGTAGCCTTTGAGCAGGCAGCGAGGTGTCCAGGCTTTGGCACGGAGCTGGCTGTGGGGAAGCAGCCTGCCGTGGGCACCACGAGGCTCCAGCATGCTTGGGAAGACCCTGTGCCCATAAACACGATGAAGTCCCAGCCCGTGGCTTCCCCGGGGATGAAAAACCAGAAGATAACAACAACTTGCGCACCGAGGAGCTACGATGCTGCTGTCCCCCAAGAACAGGGCACCTCCGCGACGCTGTCAAGGATGGGACCTCGTTGCCATCACGGGTGCGTCGCTGCCAGCCTTCGTCCTCTCCCAGGGACGCGACGCTACGGTCCTCAGCAGTGGAAAGACCTTGCTCCCCCCTCTCCGCCCGGCTTTGCAGGGCTTTCAAGCATCGGTGCCTCAGATACAGCAATGCCGATGGCGTTCCGTTCTGAGTGGAGGATGCCCCTGAGCAGAGCTCACACCGCCCGGTCTCCTGAAGCCCTGTGTAGATTCTCTAGGGGCTAATCACATGGCTGAGCTGAGCTTGCAGCCTTGGAGAGGGGGAAGGCACTAACGCAGGTCTCAGGCTCTCGCAGCTGGGGAAGTAACACCATGGAGGTTTCCAGGTCTCGCTGTCTTTGGCTAAAACTGGCAAAGAGACTCCAGGCTTGGCTACCGGGGCCGGCAGGCAGGTGAGAGCCGGGACTCTCTTTCACGCTACGGATTTTGCTGAGCCCAGCACGTGTGCCAACACAACCAGGATGATGTACCCTACCATGCCGAGGCCGTATCAACACATGACCGACGTACGCACGGACCAGCCGCCCGTGATCACCACCCTGCTGCATTTGCTGCTGCCATGTTTCCCGCCAGAGCCCATCCACCCTGCTGATGGCGCTCCTCCAGCGTAGACTTCACCGGCAGCTCCCGCGGCATCAGGAAACAGGACCAAGACCCTGGGCTGAGCGAAAAATCACCCCTGCTGCCTCCCAAAGCTCTCAGAGCCGTGTCTCCTCCTGCGAGGTCGGATCCTTGATCCAACCTCCCAGAGCCATGGGCTGAGCTCTATCTCCGAGACGCTGCTTGGGCTCGGGACGCCCCGGCCAGGCGATCGGCACTGCTGAGGGCATGGTTGGACCTCTCCAGCTTTGGAGAGTTTCAGGGGTGTCTCCCCGAGCTGGCCGTGGAGGTCACAGGCATAAGGTGGAAAAAGCAACGTGGGCTGGATTTTGCAATCGAAAAACATGGAGGAAATAAGAAGCAGGAGGGACGGGTGCACGAGCACCTGAAGGAA